AAGGGATGTGGCAGGGACAAAAGGGACATGGGGGGGCAGGGGGGGGACAAAGGAGGACATTGGGGACATGGGGGGACAGTGGGAATGTGGGGGGGACAGAGGACATGGGGGGACGAGGTGGGATGGATGTAGGGATGTGAAAGGACATGTAGGGGTCTCTGGGGACATGTTGGGTTATGGGGTGATGTGGGGACATGTGAGGACACAGAGACTTGAGGGGATGTGGGGATGTGACAAGATGTGGGGGGGTTTCTGGAGAGACAAGGGGGGTTTTGGGGGAGACACGAGGGGGACAGCAGGTGGAGTGGGGGTGACATGGGGGAGGACGTGGGGACACGGGGCCATTCATGGGGCACACAGGGTAGTCCCAGGGGTGCAGTGTCCCCATCCCTGTACCCCCCCCCAGGTGGGGACCATCCTGAAGCACCTGTTCCCAGTGCCCCGCCCCGACAGCCGCCGCGTGGTGACCTTTGCCAACGAGGATGACGTCATCCTAGTGCGGTGGGTGACACGGGGCGAGGGGTGACAGGGGGGTGGGTGACACTGGGACTGGGATGGGGCCCTCCTGACCCCCCTGTCCCTGCAGGAACCACGTGTACCGGCGCCGGGGGCGGACAGTGGAGCTGGAGGAGGTGGGGCCGCGGTTCCAGCTGCGCCGTGAGTGTTCCCCTATCCCAACCAGTGTTCCCAAGCACTGCCACCCCTGTCCCCAACAGCCCCACGAGGGTCTCCCTGTGTCCCCCACTGTCCCCAACACCCGTGTGTGTCCCCCAGCCTACCTGATCCGCCTGGGCACGCTGGAGCAGGGCGATGCAGCCGATGTGGAGTGGCGCTGGCACCCCTACACGGCCACGGCCCCCAAGCGCCGCCTGCTCAGCGCCACGTGAGCCTCCCTGAGCCCCCCTGGGCAGCTGGGACCCTCCTGCAAACCTGGGACCACCCAGGCAACTGGGGCCCTGTTGGATGCCTCGGACCCCCCCAGGCTCCAGGGTCCCCCTGGGCCCCGCCAGAACCCCCCGGGGTGTTTCACGCACCTTGGAATCTCTGAGTTGTTTTTTATTTGTCACAATAAACCTTTTTTTGGCAATTTTGAGCTCTGTGGTGATTGGCCAGGCTCTGTTGAGGCCCTTCCCTGGCTCTGGAGGCCCAGGGGTCCATTTCCCCCTTCACACCTGGGACCACTCGGCCGGGGGGTCCCGTGGGCCCTTGGGCTTCCCGATGCGGAAGTTGAACCCTGAAGGTTGGGGGGGGGGGACAGGGGGACATTGAGGGGGGGTGGCAGATGCCCCATGTCCCCCCTAAACCCCCCCTGAACCACCCCCAGACATCAGGGTCCCCCTGAACTCCTCCCCACCCTGGACACCAGGAACTCTCTGAAACCTCCCCAGAGCCCCCCAGACACTACAGAGCCCTGGACCCCCCGTGCTCACCGAGGCAGGGGCCGTTCCCGGCATCCCCGGGGGGGGTCACAACCTCGTAGGTGCCGTCAGTGGGTCGGGGGGAGCCTGGGGAGGGGCAGGGGGGTCGTCAGAGCCCATCAGTCCCCCGAGGTGCCTCAGATCCCCCCCCGAGCCCTCCCCCCACACTCACCTGCCGGGGTGGGGGAGGGGCGGCGCACGGGGCTCCCCGGGAGGGAGCACGTGCCTGAGGGGGCGGGGTCTCGCCCGAAGGGGGCGGGGTCTCGCCCCGCGGCCCCGCCCCCCCGGCGGGCTTTGTTGACCACGGCGTAGGTGACATCCATGGAGGGGGGCGCGGGGGGCTCAGCCGGCACCGAGACACTCCTGGGAGAGGGAGGGGAGGGTGGGGAAGGGAAGGGACCCCCGTGCGGGGCTCCCCCCGACCCCCAGCGAGGACTCACCTGAGCAGGGGGGGCCGCAGGGCCCGGCGGGCGACGGCGTCCTGGTACAGGGGGGGCTGGGGGGCAGGGGGTCACCTGGGCCTCCCACCCAGCTCCTTCCCGAGCTCCCCAAACTCCCGTGGCCCCCCCACAGCCCCGGGCCCAGCTCTCACTTCCCCTTTCCGGGGGCAGGAAGTGCCGCTCAGCCCTCGTGCCCCCACCCCGCCCCGGATGCCTGAGGGCGCCCTGAGCCCCCGGGCACCCTCCTCAACTCCTGCACCCCCCCACAACCCCCTGGTCCCCATCATCCCCTCGGCTCCCCCTCTAACCTGGACCCCCCGGGCCAGGCTGAGATGGGTGAGGGGCGGTGGAGGAGCCATTGGGGTCCTGGGGGGTCCCAGGTGTGCAGCAGATGGAGGGGACCGGGGGGTTTTTAGTCCCCCAGGCCCCTCCCCCGGGTTAAACCCCACCCCTGGGCTGGACCCGAGCTGGGGGGACTAAAGCTCCTCCGGAGGGGTGCCTGTGGCACCTTTAGGGGTCCCTAGAGACCCTGAATCATCTGGGGGGGGCTCTTTAGGGCCTCTGTGGGGCTTCTTGGGGTCCCTCTGGTGCCTGTAGTGGATTGGGGGGCTCTACAAACCCTATAAAGCCTCTGTGAGGGCTCCCTGAAGTCCCTCTAAGGATTTTGTGAGTCCTCATGGACTCTACAGCTGCTGTGGCTGGGTGAGGTTCCCCAAAGCACCTCTGGGGGACCTGCCGAACCTCTGGGGGCCCCTAAAGCACCTCTGAGGTCCCCGTGGTTCCTTCAGCTCAGCTGGGAGGCCCTATAGGCCCTGTGGGACCCTGGGGTGGGGTCTGCACAGCCCCTGCAAAGCCTCGCGGGGTGTCCCAGAGAGCCTGGGAGCCTCAAAGGGGTCCCCTACGGCCCCCAGAGACCCCTGGGGGGGGTGTCCCTATGGCACCTTTAGGGTCCAAGGGTCCCTCCCCTCTCCCCACTCCGGTCACGCGGCTCTTGGTGCCGCAGCCCCGCCCTCGTGACGTCACTGGGGAACCCGCCAGAGGGGCCGTCCCAGGCCCCGCCCCGCCCTCGCTGATTGGTCGGCGCGCGGCGGCCGCGCCCCCTCCTCCCGCGCCGCGCGTTGATTGGCGGGCGCGGCGGCGCGGTGACGTCACGGGGCGCGCGCGGCGCGGCGGTCCCGGAAGCGGCGGCGGCGGCGGGAGCGGGGCCGCCCTGGCGGGAGGGTGAGCGCGCGGGGAGGGGCGGGGCCACGTGGGGGTGGGGCCAGGGTGAGGGGGCCGAGGGGGGGGGGAAACGCTCCAGAGGGGAGGGCTGTGGTGAGGGGCGGGGCTTTGTCGATGGGCGGGGCTTTTAAGCCTCGGTGGGTGGGGCTGTGGGATTGGTGGTGGTCTCTGGGGGCGTGGCTACGGGACCTCGGGGGGGTCTCTCTGAGATCAGCGACGGGCGTGGTTTCGCGGTCGGGGGCGTGGCCAATGAGCTACCTGTGAGCACCGCATGTTCTGGGTGGGGCTCTGTAGGGGGTGTGGCTTGATGCTTAAGGAGGCGTGACCTGAGCCCCCAGTGGGCGTGGCCTGGTGGGAAGACCCCCGGTGGATGGGGCCCTCCAGGTTGTGCTGGAGGCGGGGGGGCGTGGTTGATAACTGTGGGCGTGGCCAGATGAGCCCCGCCCCTTCATCACCCCCATCCTCCAGGTGCCTCAGCGGCAGCAGCACCAAGACCCCCAAGCCTGGGACCCCCAAGCCTGGGACCCCTGAGCCCCACCCTGGTGAGGCCCCTGCAGAGGGGTGAGGCCACCCAGGATTTCGAGCACCGCCCCAGCGCCCCCTGCCTGTCACAGGTGTGGTGGGGACCAACCTGGTGGGGACCATCCTTGGGGTGTCACCACGGCGGGCAGGACGAGGAGGACGAGGTATCAGCGGCGGTGACAGCCACAATGTCCCTGGGGGGCCACCCTGGTGAGGAAGAGGAGGTGGCAGCGGCTGTGACGTCCCCGGGTGGGAAACACAGTGGGGCTGAGGATGAGGCAGTGGCACCGACAGTGGTGGCAGCCACAGCATCCCCAGGGGGTCACTCTGGTGAGGAGGAGGAGGTGACCACTGCATTGACGTCTCCACGGTGTCACCCCAGTGAGGAGCAGGAGGAGGAAGAGGTGGCAGTGACAGCAGCAGTGACATCCCTGAGGTGTCACCCCAGTGAGGAGCGGGAAAAGGTGACAGTGGCAGAGGCCACATTGGCCCCGGGCAGGCAGCACAGCACAGATGAGGACACGGCAGCAGTGGCAGCAGTGACGTCCCCAGGGTGTCACCCCAGTGAGGACCAGGAAGAGGTGACAGCAGCAATGATGTCCTCCGAGTGTCCTGTTGGGCTTGAAGAGGAGGTGACAGCTGAGGGGACATCATCAGGGCATCACCCCAGTGAGGAGGAGGTGACGTCCCCGGGGTGTTCCCCCATTGGGGATGAGGAAGAGGAAGAGGAAAAAAAGGCGGTCACATCCCCAGGGTGCGTCCCTGTTGGGGACGAGGAGGAGGAGGTGACAGCAGCGGTGA